TCATTTTTCTTGATCGACAATTTTGAGATTCGCTTCGATTTGTACAAAATATCGTCCCAATTTTCATAGGCAGTAGTCGTGGAGAATGCTGTTGAGGTGGACGGAGAGAATAGCGAGAATACGATATCTGAAAAGGATGGGATTGATTGACTATAGCTAGCTTTTGAATATGTAATCGGTAGTGGCAATGACATTCTAAGTTTAGAATAAATCTAAGCAAAATTGTGATAACAATAAACTTTTCATCATCTTGGCAGACATGCAGTTTTTTATGCATTGGAAATTTTGCATATAAGGGATACCTTTCATCAAACTTTGATCGGAACCAAGCTCATGGCTTATCCAACTTATGCTAAGCATAGTAGATCAGTATTCGTTATTCTGGCAAGCGCAGTAGGGAAATTTTTCAAAAATGAATTATATGCATAGAATTTTGGAGCCAAAGAAAGCAAAAGATTTATTGCCTACATTCATATCATGACCGCAAAATTTCTGAAGACAGTGCGGCACAATCGTGAAGGCTTCATCTATCACCTTCAAGGGCACCTAGGTTCATTCCAGTTTGGGCTAACTAGACCCTATCTATTTTGAAGATCTACGACATGATTTTTGAATCATGTTTAGGTGTAACATAGAGGTGAACTTGAAATGGCTCGAGAGAATCGTTGTAAAGCTTATGAGTGCATCCAGACCGCTATAACTTCTGGAAAAACTTGAATATACGGTGCATACTACGGTACTATTCAAGTCTTCAAGCTGATAATATTAATTTTTTTCTTCAAACTTTGACTTCAGGCTTGTAACATAGTGTCAAAAGTCTTGCTCAATATAAGTGACACACAAACGTATCTAGCTAACCGTCAGTCTCCCAGTTCACCTCCATCTGCTTGAGATCGACAAAAAATACGTTGTCGATTGTCACTTCCAGGCAGGGATGAGAATTCTAGAAGACGAATTTTTAATTCCGGACCATTAAAATTCAGAATGAAATTATTTACCTGAAGGTTGACTATGTCGCTCAAACTCAGGTGGTAGCAGATTTCACGAATTAGTTCGGGTGGTAGAAGGCCGAGATATCCCAGAGACATTTGGAAGCCTCTCTGTTTCGATTGAATAGATCTGAGAGTCGTTATAAATATACAGTGAAACTGAGGCACTGAATGATCGCCAGCAATATATCAGTCGAAAGGAGGCGGAAAAAACGGAAGGAAGAAAGATTGGAATAAGAAATGAGATGATGATGATGATGGTCTTGGCATGTGAGCAAAGTAATTGAGAAAAGCTCAGAATAGCCCCTTTAGACATCTTGTGGCTAATTATGAAAGGGAAAGGGTTCAAGACATGTGGTCGAAGCTCACCGGTGTAAGCAGCACGAAGATGGTACGACGCCTCTGCCATGGGTCGGCTTCCTACCACATCTGGGAGGCAACAAACCATAGGTAACGCTGGGCTAGATCTAATCTCTTTAGATGCCCCTGATTGTCATGGGAGTCCTTGGTGCGAAAATCCTAAAGATGCTAGGATGCTAACAATTTTGTGATCAGGTTACGGCATACTTTGAGTAATTAGAAGAACCCTAATTGCGATGTTTGCACCACCTGTTTTTAGGAGGTGAGATCCTGGGTCAGGTGGGATTAGATGTTGACCACTTTGACGAGCTAGTTAGAGAAGGATAGCCTGAAATAGATGGATAGATAATAGTTCAATGTATAGCCCTGTAACCTAATGATAGGGATAGCAACGTGCCAGGAAGGAAATAGGGCTCTCTAATTACTATCCCATGTGCGAAGGTAGCGTGTTACGTCATAAGCCGACTGTTGACTGACCGTTCCGCCAAGAGGGTCACCCAGCTGAAGTACAATAGACAATGAGAGCCCAGCTGATTGGCGAGAGAGCCTTTTGAGAGAGAGAGCACAGGTCCGAAAAGTATACATATGTATATTCAAGATGGGTAGTGAGTATTATAAGTGAATTCCTGTAGATAGGCCTCTACCAAAAATTAAGCCGATTTTGCAGGCATATTTGAACAAAACAGATTTTCATTGATGTAAGAGGGTGAGAGTGGTGGAGGACGATATTTACCAAAGTGTGAACGGCATAATGGGAAAGAAAATTGTCAAAGGATCATTTGATATGCTCATCCTCAAGGGATTCCCAGAAGGTGAGAGGAACTTATTGGAGAACTTGAAAACCTAGAACTTGAAAAAGTGGAGGAAGTATAGGCAAAGTTAGTGGGTGCTGCACATTTTTTTTTGTGAAAAACGATCGAATAGATGAAGCCAGGAGACTGAAAGTTTCTTCAAAAAAGACCAGGTTGGTCAGCCGGTAACAGTTCTGAATGGTAGGAGTACCAATGAACCATAACGGCTAAGCCGCCTGGTGCCCCGCCCTTCGCTAGCAAATTTCCACGACAAATCGCTGGCAGTCACCGCCGCCGTCGTGTCGTCCGCAATAGAGACCGCCCCAGAGACCATAGAATCTACAGGCAGAGTACAATAGCCACTGTATGGAAAACTGATAACTAGACGGAACTTTCAGGAGGCTAATGACTCTCATTTACAAATTACTCAAATTACTAATCAATTTCCGATATCATTGCCACCAACAGGGATACCTCAAAAGATAGAGGCTTTATGGTATATATTTGTGAATGTCGAAGAGGAACTGCCCAGCTCTACAACAGTTCAAACAACTCCTAATTACTGAAAGGCACTGGTGGATTGGTGGTCTGCACGGCTTCAGAGGCTACGTTAAGCTTACTTGGAGGTATGATGAGTTTCCCTTTTTGTAATAAAGTAACCCATATAATTGGTTTCCACCTTCCTCAACAGAGCTGATTCAGATAGCATTATCATTCCTACCTTCCCATCATGGATCGCATAAATAAACAATTGAATAAACAAGGAAGGATCCGAGTAAGAGCAGGGATGGGGCAGTGCCGAGTAACATGTAACTCCGCGTACGGTCCGGGGATCAGATTCCCGGACGGATGCTTGCCAAAGCAGCAGACATTCCCTCCTTTTGGGGCTGCTAAGTTAGTCTCATGCTTGTACAGAATGAAAGGAGTTGCTGGTGCGTCAGCTACTCCTTGCATTTTTTTGTATAGGCAAAGCCCTAATACTAATACATGTAAACTTTCAACAAAATAATAAACAAATAAGTAAATATGCATAGAATACAGTAGTTGAATCAAATGATAAATATTTAAATAACGACTAATTTATGCACTAGATTAGATGCCATCCTCGTGGTTCCGTCTAACAAAAACTGTAGTTCAATCTGAAGGATTTCTCTTTGAAAAAAATACCATCGGTTCAATCCGGGGAATTCATTTCTGGGTAAGCAACTATGAGATGACATAACCGCTCCTCTAATGAAACAATTCGCAGATTTGCTTTGTCCTCTTTTTTATTGTTTTTATACCCCTGCCAAATCCTCTTTTCAATCGGTGCTGATTGAATGCCCGGAAAGGGTAGGGACGGTTTGCTTCAATCTGGTCTCGACTATTGCCCCCTGCTCAGTCGTATCTCTGCAGAAATTTATTGGTTATTTCCATCTGCAAGTCCATTCCATAGCTGAATAAATAAAAAAAGCTATTTTTATGATTGCTCTCGAATAAGGCGACCTCCCTTTGTGGTCAGTTAAAAGTTATGGGAGCCATCAGATGCTCATTGAACATACTTACCAGTCTTACCTATACTGCTCAAAGAAGTTTAGGAGTTTTACCTCAGAATTTCGAAGTTTTCGCTGTCAACTTCAATCTTGTAAGCTTTACTCATGATTTCCAGCCAATTTTTACATTGATTGCCGCAAAAGAATGAAAATTTGTATAAAAATGCATAAATCACTGTAATTTTGCCTAGCAGCCTTTTAGTAAATGCAAATTACTGTAGTTCACTTCGGCTCGGTGACTCTCCTCCACGATTCCCCATTATCCTTATATGTTTTTTTCAATTTTTTTGCCATCTGTCTGGATTGTCGTGCTGTAAACAAAACCATACGAACTTTTATGATCCAGCGGCCGTTCTGAACGATCAGAATGGCATTACGAAGGCTGACAAAATAGCTGCAATAATCCTTTGAAAAATTACAAATTGGTAGCCAAGTTCCATGTTTTTTTGGACGTATCGATAATGATTCATATCTGAAACACTCAGCAAAATGCTGAATTCGTCAAAGCATCCTCGATGCTCTCATGTAGTTTGTAGGTTTCACTTGTAATGGCCATTGTCCTTGTAATTTATTCAGTCGTCTAAGATTAGCTTATAATTTTTTTTCAAAGTATTTCTACATTAATGACAGGAAAGTAGGAAACTTTAGAAGATCGGCTTTAGGTCCATAAATCTCTCGGAGGATCGACATTCCATGACACCTCTCCAGAATGAACTTGGCTCCATTTTCTACCGAATTTCTTCAAATATCCATCGTTACAGCTAGAATCTTCATATTAGGACATATTTTATGCTTACTTTAATGGTTTTTGATGAAATAGAGAAAAAAAGAGGGAGTAGCAAGATGTAGGATTGCTCGTATGACAGCCAGGACCATGCCAGCTCGAAGGAGTTGGATCGTATTCCTTCAAGCTGGCTGCTGCACTCTTCTATTTTCCGACTAGATACATATATGTACAATACCGGATTGGGAGAATGGGCCATGAATTTCATGAAAGACCATCTTGGAATATTCGTTGTTTAGTGGAGTTTGCGGTCTAGGCAAAAGCAAACGGTGCTTAGTTGAGAGGGTGGGCCCTGGGAAGGCTAGAGAATCTGGCAATTGGTGTTTCTCGGAATTCTTCAATCGGGCCGGATGCGGAACTTTTGGATCACGATTGCTGGGGAGGAAAGCTCTGAATGCTTGAAGACCTAGAGAATTCAGCATATCGGCTATTTCTCAAAGGAACAACCACCTTCTGCTTGTGCAGTACTGAATTATTATTCGATTATTGTTATTGTTATTCTTATTGTATGATCATGGATTGGTCACGAAAAAGTTCCGGGACATCCTATATGGACAGTTGTAAACGTGGCAATGCCAACACTTTTCATTCTAATGGGATTCCGAACAATTTATGGCAATAATAGAACTTTTCATTGGCAATCGTAGCTTTCAATAAAAGGCGGAAAATTACAACTGAACGATCCACTTCCCACGTTTTCCTACTCATTTTCGTATCGATTGAAAGCCTCAGAGCTTCGAAGTGCTGAATTCAAAACAGTACTTCCAAAGCTTTCACGTAGTTTGTCGGGTCTCCTGGAGTCTCAGTGTTTAAGCTTCTCCGTTCCGAAATCATCTCTGCCATTTCCCAGTATGGTTGTAAGGGTGGCCGGGATTTCCTAGTCATTTTACGTTCAAATTCTTCTAAAAAAAACTCGAAAAATTTGGCAGAAAAGCCCTTGATGGTATGTCTCCTCACAGGAGGGGAAGTTTTGATAAGCTGCCGAGTTCATTAGCTCCTTGATTTTTAATAAACAGAATTCTCCAAAATCGTACCGTAATGAAGTAAGAAATAAAAAATCATTTAATTTGTTAATTTTATGTTCTGATGACTGGTTTCTTTAACTATTTGTCAGTCTATTGATCACGAGTGTTTTTCATTTCGAAAGAAAGTTATGGAAATTTGAAAATTAAGTGAAACGTGCTGCCGATGAAAATCATCTCCAACCATCAGGTATAGTCATACCCAGTCGGTCTTTTTTTTTGCAGAATCAGTCCTTATCGAAGGTTCCGCTCTGTCGAATTCTAGTGAGTTCAGGGGGTTGTAAAAGTTTTGGAACCATGGCTCTTCACTACCATAGTAGGTAAAACCCAGAGAATGGTTCCACACCCTGCAGGGCTCTGTTCATCGGTTATGCACAGTGCCCTATTTCAACTTAATACTACGTATTTTTCCTCTACAACTGGAACCTTGAAGGGAACGATGAAGTAGTTAGGGGATAGCAAACTCGAGAGGGTCGGATGCTCTTCCATACCACCTCTGAGCTCCCAGAATTTGGGTAGTTTTCACAGAGTAGAATGATGCAGCAACAGGAAGAGTCCCAAAATGACTTGTAAGTCCCAGTGGGATACCCATGGAAGCGCATTTCAGTGG